CATTCTATGCCTCCATGACGGCTTGTAATTTTGTTGTATTTTGATTTCAGTTTGGAAGGAAATTTTCCCTAGCCTACTCATTTCTCGCCCTACGGCCATCTTGTAGTAAGGGCATTGTGTACATTGTGAAGATTTTTACTTGTATGGAATTATTGGGGTTGCCCTTTTTAGCTCAGGCATGCAGGCAGGATAGGGGCATTTTCTGTAATTATTGCTGAATAATATTCCCATGTTGTTTACCCCGAACGGAAGGTCACTTTTGGGATGTATGACATCATATTCTTTTTGGGTATAATGTAACCAGAAATGTAAAAAACAACTTTCTTTGGGGGACATTTTCTATTTTTAAGTAAATATATTTTTACTACGCATTCTGCCATTTTACGATTGTGAATTTTTAGGTTCATTTTTTTTTTGTGATACCTTTTAAACTTTAAGCTTTTATTTATTTATTTTTTTATTTTATTGGGCCAGGACCTGGATAATATTTTTTTGTTTTTTGATTTTTACAGCCATGTGATTTTGTGTATTACTATGGTTAACATTTTAACTAGCTTCCTCCATGAATAATATTATTATAGATTTTAGTTTTTTGGGTTTGCACAATGTCACGGTTTTTGGTATCTTCCCTCCCTGCCTCTGCTTGTAGGTCTGACTTAGCGCTGCGAGAACTATTTACTTTTCCTGTATGCTCCTCAATCCTCGTTGGGAACTCACAGATTTGGCCATTTTCTATGGCTTACGCATTTATTGGAACCTCAACCAAAGGTAACTCTAGCGCACGTCTTGTCTTTCCAGAATTCCTGCTATTCCAAGTCCCATAATAATCCACTTTGTAAATAATTTTATTCATTTCCACTTGCGGTTGGGGGAAACGGAGTCAGTCCTTTTAAAGGCATGTCCTTCAGAAGATTTTTCGACCACAGGGCTTTTAGAACCTCGTTTAACAATAAAAAAATTTAGCTAACTTCTTCTGTTGCTCCTGTAACATACTCTTGAATCAGTATTGAGCACATTTTATGCCTGTGGATAATTTGTAAATAATTTGTTTCATTACAGTAGCAGTAAAGAAAAATTATGGATTTTTTTAGACCAAAATTAAAAAAAGTACCTTCATTGTTGAAAAAAAATAAATGTCTAAATTGACAAATAAAAAATTTAAATAAGCTATATGCTGTTATTACACACCATGGATTCTATCGTAAATTGTTTGTTTTATTATCTTGTTCAGTAACATAGAAAAAGGATTTTGTTTGTAAAGTTCTCTCACTGTTGAAAAAAAAAATTAAATTGAAAAATAAAAAAGGTTTAAAATAAGCAGATATGCACTAGTGTACTCACCATGTGATTCAGATAGTTTTTTATTTTAAAAGCTTTTGTTGGGAAAATATGGATTTATTTAAAGTTTTTCTTTGTTCGAAAAAAATAATATTTAAAAGATTGAAAAAAAAAATGTTAAAATAAGCTATTGCTTCTTGTACAACACCACGTGGCACTCTCTTAATACCACTAGCTCAATTTTATTACAGGCAGTAAAGGAAAATGATGGATTTATTTTTAAGTTTCTTTTGTTGAAAAAAAAAATACTGTAATTGAAAACAATTTTTTTTACAATAAATGTTATTATGCTGAATGTACTAACACCGTGGATTCTCTTAAATATTTTGTTTACAAGCAGTTAAAGGAAATATGGATTTTAATAACAACTTTCATTCTTGTGTTTGATATTTTTAAGCAAATATGCATGTGTTTATTTATATTTGGATTTCTATTACGTTTGTTTTACTTATTTTTTAATTTAGCAGTAAAATATTGATTTTTTAATAAAGTTTTCATTGTTGATTAAATTTTTTTTATTTTTTTTTTAAAATAAGCGAATTTATGCCGAGTGACACACCTTGGATTCTCTTAAATAGTTTGATTTACAAGCAGTTAAAGGAAATATGGAAAGATTATTAATATCTATTCATTGTTGGTATAAAAAAGTAAAGATTGAAAAAATTCTTTTTTAAATAAGCTTTATAGCTGTGTGTACTTTATGGACTTTTAATTTATTGGTTTTTTTGTTCTATAAGCAGTAAAAGGGAAAATATGGAATTTAATTATAGTGTTTTTATTGTTGAAAAAAAATTTGGGTTTAAAGTAAAAATGGTTAAGAAATAAGCTATTTTATTCTGCCTGTACACACCATGGATTTCTTTAAAATAGAGATTGTTTTACACAGCAGTAAAGGATTTTTATGGATTTAATTCATTATAGTTTAGATTTTTCTTGAAAAAAATTTGAAAATGGTATGTGTATATGCGGGAATGTACCACACCTTGGATTCTGATTTTTGTTTTACATAGCAGTAAAGGAAAATATGGATTTAGTTATAAGTTTTCATTGTTGAAAAATTCTAAATTGAAATTGAAATAAAATAATGTTAAAATTAGCTACCATGCTTCGTGTACACACCGGGATTCTCCTTTAAATATTTTTTTTGAATTTTAACAAGCTGTAAAGGAAAAAATATGGATTTGATTAAAGTTTTCATTAAAAATAAATTTTAAATTGAAAAGTAAAAAAATTGATGGTTAAATATACGGTAAGAGGTATTATTTTTAAAGGCTAAAGCTTTTTTTTTCTTTAAGTTTTTGCGGCTAGGGTGGTGAAGGCTTAGTGTAGTTCATGTTTTTTATGTCTTACAATAACACTGCTGATGTCGTCCTTGGGTAAATGTTCAGAAATTGCCCAAAATTTGGAACTTTGAGGTGATTGAAGAAGAGGTTTTAGAACTACAAGGCATCACTATAATTTTTATATTAGATTTTTTGTTTCCATTGTAAAAAAAAGGAACTGCCATAAAACTATTTTTACATGTTTAAAAAAATAACCTTCCTTCTGCCGACTTTCCCTCTGTAATGTTATTGTCAATACTTTTCAGTTTATACAGGTTTACCTCGGTTTACGTATGCCTCGGTTAAACCGTAATTTTATCGTTTTTTACCAAATGAAAATCCATTGAGAAAATTTATAATTTTTTTTTTCACAATACAAAAAATTGGAATAATTGGTTTTCATTATGCATTTACAAATTTTTTTTAATTTTACCTGTCCCTGTACAAGTATTTTATGCCTGTATTTGTGGTTGGGGATTCGTAACCAACTGACCCTAGTAGTGCTAGGTGGAAGTGTTAACTATTTAGCCACTGTGCTGCCCGTGATTGCTGATTGGACTATCAGTACTAACCAAATGATGCATAGTAAAGCAAGATGTCACTTCCTGACATCATTTTCGCTTAATAACTATGTGAAATCTCTGGTGAACGATCACAGAGATCACATGGTACAAGACCATTCACCAACAGCCGCTTGTACCATGTGACAAGCTGTGACCAATCACAGCTCTCACAGTATTTCTCAATGGCTGGCAGGAATGCAGCCAGAGAGAGAAGGTGAGATTATTGCTTCTATAAGCCATTTTATAAACGTCCTCCCACATTCCCTGCCTGTCGGCAACTGGGAGCGCGCATTCCCCCATCCTAAGCACCGAGATCCGGTGCCCTTGCTATGTCCTCCAGACACAGTGGAACACTGATCGCTGTTCGGGACCTCTGTGTGAGATCCCAATCATGTGACCACTGATTGGCCAATCAGAGATCCCAATCATGTGATCACTGATTGGCCAATCAGAGATCCCAATCATGTGATCACTGATTGGCCAATCAGTGATCACATGAATAGTAGTAAGCAAAATGTCACTCCCTGACATCATTGCTTACTACTAGTGAAATCTGTGAATGATCACAGAGATCACATGGTACAGGACTATTCACAACAGTCTTGTACCATGTGACAAGCTGTGACCAATCACAGCTCTCACAGTATTTCTCAATGGCTGCAGGAATGCAGCCAGAGAGAAGGAGAAATGATTGCTTTTACTGCCTTTATGGGTGTAAAAGCAATCAGTGCAAAAAAAAAAAAAATCTTCATCACCCCCCACAAGTAGTACAGTGTCACTATGGTGACACTGTACTGCTAGGGTGATGGTATGTTTAAAAAAAACAAAACATAAATAATAATAAAAAATTAAAATAAAAATGTAAAAATTTTTTTAAAATGGCTATAAACTAATTTGGGTTATTTTTTTTTTTGTTTACTAAAAAGAAAACTGAATACATTTTGGCCAAGATTTATGAAGAAAGATTATTTATTTGCAAAATTTTATATGAAAAAAACGCTTTTTTTTTTTCAAAATGTTTGGACTTTTTTTATTTATGTAGCAAAAAATAAAAATCCCAGTGGTGAATAAATACCACTAAAATAACGTTTTATATGTCTCAAAAAAATGCTAAATAATTCATATGGGTACAGTGTTGCATGACCGCGCAATTGTCATTCAAAGTGTGATAGCACTGAAAGCTGTCAAGTGTCCGGACTGCGAGGGGGTGAAAGTGTCTGGACTGGAAGGGGGTGAAAGTGTCTGGACTGGAAGGGGGTGAAAGTGTCTGGACTGGAAGGGGGTGAAAGTGTTCGGACTGGAAGGGGGGGGGAAGTGTCCGAACTGGAAGGGGGGGGGAAAGTGTCCGGACTGGAAGGGGGTGAAAGTGTGTCCGGACAGGAAGAGGGTAAAAGTGACTGGACTGGAAGGGGGTGAAAGTGTCCGGACTGGAAGGGGGGAAAGTGTCCGGACTGGAAAGGGGGTGAAAGTGTCTGGACAGGATGGGGGTGAAAGTATCTGGACTGGAAGGGGGTGAAAGTGTCTGGACAGGATGGGGTGAAAAGTGTCTGGACAGGATGGGGGTGAAAGTGTCTGGACTGGAAGGGGGTGAAAGTGTCTGGACAGGATGGGGGTGAAAGTGTCTGGACAGGATGGGGGGGAAAGTGTCCGGACTGGAAGGGGGGAAAGTGTCCGGACTGGAAGGGGGTGAAAGTGTCTGGACAGGATGGGGGTGAAAGTGTCTGGACAGGATGGGGGTGAAAGTATCTGGACTGGAAGGGGGTGAAAGTGTCTGGACAGGATGGGGGTGAAAGTGTCTGGACAGGATGGGGGTGAAAGTGTCTGGACTGGAAGGGGGTGAAAGTGTCTGGACAGGATGGGGGTGAAAGTGTCTGGACAGGATGGGGGAGAAAGTGTCTGGACAGGATGGGGGGGAAAGTGTCCGGACTGGAAGGGGGGAAAGTGTCCGACTGGAAGGGGGTGAAAGTGTCTGGACAGGATGGGGGTGTGAAAGTGTCTGGACAGGATGGGGGTGAAAGTGTCTGGACTGGAAGGGGTGTGAAAGTGTCTGGACAGGATGGGGGTGAAAGTGTCTGGACTGGAAGGGGGTGAAAGTGTCTGGACAGGATGGGGTGAAAAGTGTCTGGACAGGATGGGGGGGAAAGTGTCCGGACTGGAAGGGGGGAAAGTGTCCGGACTGGAAGAGGTTAAGTAGAAAGTCACATAGTGAAGGTTATTTATTTACTATGCCTTTATGATTTGGCAAGATGCAGACTTGTTATCTTGATTGAAATCGTTTTATATTAAATGCATTTTGAATACTAGTTTGATTAAAAAAACAAAATCTATTTTTATAGTTGTTTCGTAATTAAGATCTTTACCAGATTAAAAGTCCCGATATGCATTTCTAAATGTTGGGTATTTTTCTGAAGTTTTTATTGCTTTGTCTCTGCTGGAGAGATTAATCTTCTCTGGTAATTCTTATAATCATTAACAGAAAATAATTGGAAAATCCAAATTTTAGAGTTGTCCCCAGAACAAAAGGTGAAAGCAAATCGTTTATGAGGGTCACCTGTTCCGATGATGACTGTATAAGTGGGGAATATACTTGAATGCAGGGGCGGACTGACAACTCATGGGGCCCCCCGGGCAATAGGGGATCATGGGGCCCCTGTGTCCTTGCCCAAACTCAAAAAAAAGCCTATGAAAAAGGTACTAGGGGCATCTCATGGGGCCCCCTACTGACCCTGGGCCCTCAGGCAGTGCCTGACTTTCCAAATGGTCAGTCCGCCCCTGCTTGAATGGTTGTTTTTTTTTTAAATAGAATATAGCAAAAGCTTTATTTACTGGCATTCTCACTTCAATCTACTTTATTTGATAGAGTCCCAGTGGAGCCTGGAAGAAAAAAAAAATTGTCACTCTTGAACTTTAGATTCAACAAGAGAGTGCTGGTTGACATGTTCGTGTGGAATGATGACCGGGAGTCCAGCAAGCACATCATCTATGTAAGATGTTCCTTGTTATGTTAGTTCAGGCTAAGCATGCGTATATATTTCATGCTAAAGAGGTTCTCTGCGTGTTGAGGGTAGCAAAGTCATGAAAGAAGGGGAGCCTTCGCATAAATGCAGACCAGCTACTCTTCCAAGAGCTGGGTTGGTCATCACTGCTCGATGGTTAGCCAAGACATCTTGCCTTCTCTAATGACTTTGTAGCCCAACTGACCTGCACATTTCCCTGCTAAGCAGTGCAGTTGGTTGACCTGTGCCATGCCCCTTCACGCTTTGCTGTCAGCACTAAGGTTTGCCATGTTGGTAGATATCAACCAGTGGAATTAAGCCACCTAAAACTTCAAGTCAAAACATCTTGGATGGTCGAGAAGGAGCAGCAGGGTCCTTGAAGACGATGGTCGAGAAGGAGCAGCAGGGAGCTAAGCAGTGCAGTTGGTTGACCTGTGCCATGCCCCTTCACGCTTTGCTGTCAGCACTAAGGTTTGCCATGTTGGTAGATATCAACCAGTGGAATTAAGCCACCTAAAACTTCAAGTCAAAACATCTTGGATGGTCGAGAAGGAGCAGCAGGGTCCTTGAAGACGATGGTCGAGAAGGAGCAGCAGGGTCCTTGAAGACGATGGTCGAGAAGGAGCAGCAGGGTCCTTGAAGACGATGGTTGAGAAGGAGCAGCAGGGTCCTTGAAGACGATGGTCGAGAGGGAGCAGCAGGGTCCTTGAGGACGACGGTCGAGAAGGAGCAGCAGGGTCCTTGAAGACGATGATTGAGAAGGAGCAGCAGGGTCCTTGAAGACGATGGTCGAGAGGGAGCAGCAGGGTCCTTGAGGACGATGGTCTAGAACAGTGGTCGGCAAGCCGCGGCTCGCGAGCCACATGCGGCTCTTTACCCAGTCTAATGCGGCTCTTCTGTGTGCCGGACGCCTGCTCCCCTCCCTCCTCTCGGTCGGCCGCTCCCCTGCCTCCTCTCGGTTGGCAGCCCCAAAAGTCCGCGCGGACCTTTTAATCCGGCCTGCGGATGTGGCTGTCAGGATGTGTGTAGGCGGGGCAGCGTGCCGAACGTGAGGGGAGGGGAGCTAGGCTCCTCTCACAGTCCGCCCTGAAAGACCCCGAACGGCGCGGGAAGACAGCGAGAGGAACGCAAAAGGTAAGTGAATTGACACGGGGGACTTGGCTTACTAGAAGGGGGGGGGGGGAATAGTACTGTGGGGGATGAAATACTATATGAGGGATGAATTACTTTATGAGGGATGAAATACTATATGGGGGGATGAAATACTATATGGGGGGATGAAATACTATATGGGGGGATGAAATACTATATGAGGGATGAATTTACTATATGAGGGATTGAATTACTATATGAGGGATGAATACTATATGAGGGATGAATTACTATATGGGGGATGAATTACTATATGGGGGATGAAATACTATATGAGGGATGAATTTACTATATGAGGGATGAAATACTATATGAGGGATGAATTACTATATGAGGGATGAAATACTATATGGGGGATGAAATACTATATGGGGGGATGAAATACTATATGAGGGATGAATTACTATATGAGGGATGAATTACTATATGAGGGATGAAATACTATATGGGGGGATGAAATACTATATGGGGGGATGAAATACTATATGAGGGATGAATTACTATATGAGGGATGAAATACTATATGGGGGGATGAAAATACTATATGAGGGATGAATTACTATATGAGGGATGAAATACTATATGGGGGGATGAAATACTATATGAGGGATGAAATTTCATATTGAGTACTATATGGGGGGATGAAATACTATATGAGGGATGAAATACTATATGGGGGGATGAAATACTATATGAGGGATGAAATACTATATGAGGGATGAATTACTATATGGGGGATGAAATACTATATGAGGGATGAAATACTATATGAGGGATGAAATACTATATGGGGGATGAAATACTATATGGGGGATGAAATACTATACGGGGGATGAAATACTATACGGGGGATGAAATACTATACGAGGGATGAAATACTATACGGGGGATGAATTGCTATGGGGGATGAATTACTATATGGGGGATGAATTACTATGGGGGATGAATTACTATATGGGGGATGAATTACTATATGGGGGTTATGAATTACTATGGGGGATGAATTACTATGGGGGATGAATTACACTATGGGGGATGAATTACTATATGGGGGATGAATTACTATGGGGGATGAATTACTATATGGGAGATGTATTTTCAGTTTTAAAAATGTGGCTCTCAAAATAAATTTCAATCATGGTTTTGGCGAGATTTGGCTCAGTTGAAAAAAAAGGTTGCCCACCACTGGTCTAGAAGGAGCAGCAGGGTCCTTGAAGACGATAGTCTAGAAGGAGCAGCAGGGTCCTTGAAGACGATGGTCGAGAAGGAGCAGCAGGGTCCTTGAAGACCAGTCTATCTTCACAAGCACCACAGCAAAGGCTGGCGTGCCCTATCAGCAAGGAGAAAAGCGAGAGTTTTTTGAGTTAGTTAATATGTATGAACAGGGCCGGATCTAGCCTACCTAATCTGGGGGTGCATTATAAAAAAGTCAGGGGGCTAATATCAAACAGCATGACAGAGATGCAGGGAAGCAGCACTTTCCATTCACTCAGCGCAATTCTGTACCACAAATTTACAGCCCAGAAATAAAGTCTGGTGGAGCAGAGGGAGTCCTCATCCCTGTTTACATCAAACTGTCCCCATCAGAGTGCACCCTTACATCAGGTGTCCCCATCAGAGTGCCCCCTTACATAAGGTGTCCCCATCAGTGGGCCCCCTTGCATCAACTGTCTGCATCAAAGTGCCCCCTTACATACTCATCAGAGTTACCCCTTACATCAAACTGTCCACATCAGAGCCCCCTTACATCAGGTGTCCCCATCAGAGGGCCCCCTTGTATCAACTGTCTGCATCAGAATGCCCCCTTACATCAACTGTCCACATCAGAGCCCCCTTTACATCACTTGTCCCCATAAGAGTGCCCCCTGTACATCAACTGTCCACATCAAAGCCCCCTTTACATCACTTGTCCCCATCAGAGTGCCCCTTGCATCAGCTGTCTGATGGGGACACCTAATATAAGGGGGCACTCTGATGCAGACAGCTGATGCAAGGGGGCACTCTGATGGGGGACACCTAATATAAGGGGGCACTCTGATGCAGAGTATCCCCTTACCTCAGGTTTCCTCATCATGAGTACCCCCTTACATCAACTGTCCACATCAGAGTGCCCCCTTATATCACTTGTCCCCATCAGAGTGCCCCTTACAATCAGGGTGTCCTCATCAGAGGGCCCCTTTCATCAACTGTTTGCATCAGAGTGCCCCCCCTTACTCCTCATCAGAGTACCCCCTTACATCAACTGTCCACAATCAGAGCCCCCCTTTACATCACTTGTTCCCATAAGAGTGCCCCCTTACATCAACTTGTCCAATCAAAGCCCCCTTTACATCACTTGTCCCCATCAGAGTGCTCCCGTACATCAACTGTCCACATCAGAGCCCCCTTTATATCACTTGTCCACATGAGAGTGCCCCGTACATCAACTGTCTGCATCAGAGTGCCCCCTTATATTAGGTTTCCACATCAGAATACCCCTTACATCAAGTAAGCCTTGTTGTAGGTATAGCGTTCTTCGTGTGTTATCAGACCAGGACAGTGCAGCTTTAGAGATTAATAAAGAATTGCATCCTTAGCTCCCACACAACTGGCTGCCATTTGTTTGGACAGGAGACCCCTCCTCCCTCCA